TGAAACCCGTCAACTTGTTGACCCAGGACATCATCATCTAGAATTGAGCGCTTTAAATAGTGGGAGTTCATCAGTGTTCTGGTAATTTCAGTGACGCAGGTTGAAGTCAATGGAGTCTATAGAGGAAGAGCCTTCTAAATGCGCTTTACAGGCCCCGAGCGCGAGAGACGGTCAGAAAGCATCTTATCAGGGAAAATGCTTTTTTGAAAATTTACAATTTCTTAATGCTCAGTAGTAAGCGTATATCGATCCCATATGCCAAGTGAGCCCACCGCTGTTCCGGCGCCAAAAGACCTTGCCAGAGCTTCACTCGTCCGCGATACAGCGACACGGTACGATTAGTCGTATGAGACTTTCAGCAGGTGAGAACCAAACGCAACAAACACGACGTCGTTGTCGTTGGTGTTTGTCATTGTAAGCCCGCAGTGTCGGATGATCTGGGACACGGGGCCAGAAAGACCATCGTTAAAGTTCGAGAGGATCATGGTGGTGTCGCGTCCAATCATGGGAGAATGATATGTGAAAGAAGAAAATTGTTGTATGATTGTTAAATGATAAATATAATACAGAAACAGCAGAGTAAATTGTGTAAAAATTCCTAAAAATATCAAGGAAACTCATTTAATACAGTTCTGCCAGTTATTGGTTCCAAGAAATATCCCTAAAAACATCCTTTACTCAGTTAGAGTACTAGAAAAAGGGTCCCTGCAGGAAAAAGGTTGGAAACGCACTGATCGTTGACTGACAGTGTACTGTGGAATCTGCGTTAAAGAGGGAGACTGATGTGCTCGGCTGAGAAACAGTAAAAGAGACAACGCGTGGAGAGACGAACGCTTCAAAGGTTTAAAATATAAGATTTATAAAGTTAAAATATCAGCAAACATTATATCTCTGTATAAAGACACAGTAGTCACATCGGTGTCTTCTCTCCCTCTGCTGCTGTTGTATCGCAGCCTCACTCTGTGGTTTGTTTCCATAGCCGGTCTGCTTCCGACTGAAACTGGCGTTTTTATCATCTACATCCGGAATAAGGGATTAATTTCCACCAAACCATAGTTGGTGATTGTTTGGAAACCACTAAAAGAGAAACTTTAATAAGTTTTATTCTGTTTCTGTCCACTTAATGAAGTTACGGTGATCTGAAGGTAAAATGATGTTTGTGTCTCTGGAATCTGGTGGAAGTGATAGTTGATATTCACCGGCTGTTTGTGGTTAAACTAAAGGTCTATCTCTGTAGGAATCCTTTCATAATGCTGTCAGACACTGAAAAAATAACAAACCCTGAGTCTGTCAGGGAATAAAACAGAAACTGTTTGGTTCTTTTTTCACATTGCACAAGCAACTGAATCCATCATAGATGTATCCTCATTCTTCCTCTAAATCTGAAATTACGAGTTTTCCACAATGACATCCGACTGGTCCCAGTTTTCATTTATGTGTAGAGTTGATTTTTTTTATCAGTTTTCTTATTTCTGCAGCACTTTCTCCAACTTATTATTTTTTAATTGGGTATGGTTTGTATTTTCTCGATATGAATCGACCCAGCTTGACTCTTTCCTGATTGCATGAAAAAAAACATGCCACACCACTCCCCGCTATAGCTGTCTTTGGCCACACATAGCTCGCCTCTGTTTTACGACGCCGTGAAGTGCTGAGCTCCATGGCGGGATGGAGCTCACCTGGGGAAGCTAGTGAGCCAGCGGTCAGGAACCCACTGGTTTTTGATCAGGGAGCCTCACAGAAATGGCTGCCGCTCCCTGTTGCAACCTGGCCTGCCAGGCCACGACCACGCAGGGCGTCCTCGCCTCCCACGAATCTTGTTGAGCGCGGAGCGATGCGCAAACTGAGGGAAAATAGTCAGATTCATGGAGCCGCTGCAAATATCTCAACAGCTTTATAACACTGACTGTAGTGACAGTTCATCAACGTTCATGATGCTCAGAGGAATGAAATGAGCTGCAACTAATCAAATGAGTAAATTAAATCATAATCAGACATCAGGCGTACTGAGAAGGAATACACAGGGCTCACATTATAAATGCATAAAGTGTCCAATGAAATGTGGGTTTATGATAAATATTGTGGATGAAATCAGAATATAAGTTGTTTTATAGGTGCTTTTATGATCTTTGGATGCTATTTAGAGACTTCATAGCTAAAAAGCTGAGAACACTGGTTTGTTGTGGTCAAGACACTGTATTGAACCTTGTTGAAACCTTTGTGTTGTGTGTACCAGAAGTCAATCAGCTGTATGTTGCTTTGTGTAAGTTTGAGATAATAACTCACCGTCTATCATGTGCATTCCTCCTGTGAGAGACCAAAGAGAACAAAAGAATCATTCACGTATATATAGGAATGGTTCTGAGATTTCTGTTATCAGAAAAGGGTTTGACCACCACTATTCATATTTCTGTTACAAACACTTTTCACAGAGTGTTTGAATAACAAACGACTGGTTGTTTGTGATTCAGCGGAAATATGGGTTAAAAAAAAGTGAAAATAACATTTCATGTAGTCGTCAGTTTTTTTTTCACAATACAAAGCAACTGAATCCATCAAAAAAACCCTCATGTGACATCCTCAAAATCTGTCATACGAGTTCCAACAATGACGTCCAACCAGTTTTATTTTAATGAAGTTACGATGATCTGAAGTAAAAATGAAGTGTTTTTGTCTCTGGAGTCTGTGGAGAGTGATAGTGATATTACGGCTTGTTTGGGTTAAACTCAAAGGTTATCTCTGTAGGGATCCTTTCCATAAATGCTGTCCTGACACTAACAAAAGCTTTGTTTTCATTTCAGTTTATTAATCAACCATGACCCCCCACTGATGCAAAAATAAAATTTCAATGATCCCCCAAGTGTAAAGATTTATGTTTGTCCACACAAAAAAAACACAGAAAATTAATTTGTTACCAGTTTGATAATCATTTCATAATAATATAAATTGTTTTATCGTACATCAGCTGTTTTGAGAAGGTGAGTTTAACTTCAATTAACTGAATGGAATTAGTACAATTAACCAAAGTTAAATAATATGAGAAAGAATGCCTCCGATATATATAAAGCTGTTTTATATTGTTTCCTATTTATTTTCAATAATTTCTTAAAGAATAGTGTGACTCCCCACTTCCAACTGTACAATGGTTTCACCCAGTATCTTCCTCTCTTCAGATCCTCTTAACAACATTATTTCTTAAAAGCCAGAAGTTTCGCATCTTATTCAAACCATCAGGAAAAAGACAAGAAATATAATTTATAGTAACATTTGTTCAGCAGCGTCTCTCCCTAATAAAAAACAGAAAACATCAAAACAAATGTTCTAAATGTTCTAAATGTTCTACATGTCTCCTCATCATGATCCAGATGTCTCCGAGTTGTTTTTCCACCAAAGAGAACTTTCATTTATAAACTTATCGACAATAACACAACATATTTTATGGATATTTCATATTATATTAAAACAGTGAACTCAGTAACTGCAGGAAGTTTGTGTAAAACCAAAGATTTTAATTAATTTTGAGCAGATTATTTCCTGTTTAGGGAACTTTTTATCCAATTTTCTGTCTGTATTGTGTATTTTCTATAAAATATATAAATAATTGTATATAAATGTAACACAGTTGACCTTCAACTGTTAAACTATTCCTTTAAATCCTTGGTTCGTCATTATTTATTTCCCTCTTTAGATCCTTCTGATCATCAGTCCAGGACACAGGTTGGCACACATTGAGTCTGTGGCCTTTCTTTAAATCAGTGGTTTCCAACCAGAGGGTTGCGACCCATGCAAGACGTCACCAAAGCGTCACAGGGGTTAGGGTTAGGGGCCTTCTTGATTTTAAGGGATGTAAGAAAATCTTAAAAATATATGCAGAAGATGTATATCTCAGCATTTTAAGATGTAAACTTTGAAGATCTGAACACAGTGTATATTCAGTCTCTGATCAACAGCCTCGTCCTGCTTTAGAATACAACCAAAGAGTTGATCGAACAATGAGAAGGAAACACTGAATCGAGTCTGTATGATGGTTAAAAATTAAATAAAAAATATACAGACAGAGGATTGTATAAACAGTTCCTAAAAATATCAGGAAAACTCATCTCTGATCAATAGTCACAGAAAATAATCTGCTCAAAATGTATCAAAATCTCTGGTTTTACACAAACTTCCTGCAGCTTATCAGTTTATCTGCTGTTATTGATGCGTTGAATATAAATATCTATAAAATACAGTCAGTTTACTCAGTGAAAGTTCTGCCACTGCTTTAATGTAATCATTGTTCAAAAAGTAAATTCATTTTATGTATGTATGTAATAATTTAAGAAAACGTAATAAAATATAATTCCCAAGTTAAAAGATCAGAGATTAGTAACCTAAATAAAACCCTGACTGACGTCAGTGAGTCAGCTGTACTCTCAGTGAAACTGGCTGTTCTGGATGTGTGTTAGTATCTATCAGCTCCACTCACCTGTGGGAACAGGTGACGCCGCGTGTGTTTTTATATTTCAGACTGATTAGTTGACTTTTCTGGTCCGTGAGAAGTGAGATTTTACATTTGCTTTGATGTTAAATCCAGTTTGTTCTGA